AAATCTATTCTAACCATAGTGGCGCATTATCCTGTCTGGTCATATGCACCACATATGTTTTACATTAATTGTCAGTCTAATATACAGTACATACTACTAACACCCATGTGAGGTTGTACCTAGTTCAATGCACAGTCATGGATGGAAGTTGTATTAGGTTAGAGATTGTACCACATCTTTTCACTTTTATCATTAGATAATATGTAGATACAACACTGGTTTCAGTTTCTGAATAATTGTAGAAAGGAATTGGGAACCATCAAAATTTCATTATCATTTAAAACATACACATGCCACATTTCCCATAACATTCAACTTTATAAGATGCACCCTTAATTTAACAGAGAATATCTAGGAAAAAAAATGTTTCTCAAGCAAGGTTTCTATCAGTGCTAGTTAAGCTAGTCTGCCTTTAACTTTAATTACCTTAGTTTAACAGTTACCCTACGGTTTTTCTTCCCCTAAGAACAATTACCATTGAATTTATTTATTTTTCCTTCATTTTGGTAAGGGTTTCATGAAGTCACAGTTAACAGATGCAAATGTGAAAAGAATGTTATTTGTAAATCTTCATTTGTATAAGGTGTTTGTAGATTTAAAGACAAATGTTGCAGGTACGACATTAATAGATAGTAACACATGTAAGAATTCAGAAATGGTTACTGCTTAGCTCGGAAGAGTTGGGTGCCTGCTGTATGGACACTAATCGTCTCGGGTCATCATCATCAGTACACAACTATACCGTAGTTATAAATCCAGCTTTTATATTTACAATGATTCTTTTTTAATTATAATTAAAAGTAATAATAATGTGATTAAGTAATCAATAAAATGTTTAATTCTGGAGTTAGGCTAGGTAGTACATACTGTAATTTAGCCAACTGGAGACAAGCAACTGGGCGATTCATTAGCCTATGGAAGACCACAAATTCACATATAGGTTACAGGATTATTTTTTAAAGCCATTTTTCAAACAAAAGGGTGTGTCTTATATACCGTAAAATATGGTACCTTAACTTGTTCATTTTGAAAATAAACAACTTGATTTCTTTGTTTAATAATTCAGTATCATATATACAGTATTTCAATTTGGAGTCATCTGGGAACCATTTTGTCAAATTAGGGAGTTTGGGGGAAAAAATGCATCTTATAAGGTGAAAAATATGGTGCATAGTAAATTCATAATTTCCTCTTAACATGACAGTAATAGACAATGAATGAAAATTTTTTCCCTTCTTCAAAAGCTTTCCCTCATAGTCCATAATGCCAGCACTTGATCCACAAATCCTCATCTGGAAGTACACAAACTGCTGTTCCCCTACATGAACCTTATGTTAATGACTGGAAATAAAATATTCAATGGAAAGACTGACACATTAACAATTATGTTGCATAATATAATAACAAATAGCAGAATTTCTGTGTCTTCTCATTTGGATGGGAAAAATAACTAAAATTACCTAATATAACCATTCTTAGACTAATAATAACCATTAAATTAAAGATTGTTATTGAAGGCCAAAGAATGTTAAAAACCAAAGTGTGATTTATGTTAGTTGCCTGTTTTTGATGGACAGACTGAGATAAATTAGTTGATAAATTATAAGGAAGACAAACACAACCATGACTGATTTAGAAGTTCTTCAGTCATCACAGCTTTAACTGAACCAGGTGTCAGGTCCATGGCCACCAAAGCCACTAAACCCTGAATGACCTTGTACCTCATAAATTTGGGGAGAAGTGCTCATCATAAATAAATTACATCATATAGTTTTACTGTACTGTATAGCTAAAAAGGGAGAACCTGTCTTTAATAGCATATAGTACACTATGTCTTTTCTGAAATGGTCCCTTTTCCTAGTTTGCAGAAATATAAATCCCTTATTCTTGATAACAGTTTGGGTACGAACAAAGGAATATAGTTAGTAATAGAAACTGAATGAGTTTTATGCATATATACTCTTACTTTGTCCTGGCACAGTCTTGAGTTTTTCTAGAGAGAAAGCCTCTCGATTGTTCTTGCATTATATACACTTATAATGTATGCACTAGCATGAATTTCATACTGGCATGTGGCCAAACAGATAATTATATCTGCAACTGATCATAGGAGTCTATTGTGTACAGTCGACCCTCGTTAATTCGGACTGGGGGGAAGGGTGTCCGTTTTAGCCGATTGGACTGGGGGGAAGGGTGTCCGTTTTAGCCGATTGTCTGAATTAACCGATTTAGGGGTTAATATTGCATTATATTTCAAAGAAAATGCAGTGAGTTTGTCCTTAGCCTTGCATACCGTATATACTCGTCTATAACCCCCTCCCTCGTTTATAGGTCGACCCTGATTTTTTTTACCAAGAAATCGCTAATTTTTGATATTCCTCGTTTATAGGTCGACCCACGTTTTTGAGGGTAATGGAACAACAAAACCTTCAGTAAAAACACTACGTCCTATAAACTGAGGCTCGCCGTGCCTGAAACACTGAGTGCCAAAGGCAAAATGTTTACCATTTATTATTATGACACTTTACACTGAAACGCGGGTAGTTTTAACAAAAATATTGTATATTTCCATTCAAGTATTTATTCAAGTCAATTCGGAGGGAATATTATTGTAATACAACAGTTTTTTAACTAAACCATTCGAAAAGCGATTGCGGTAACATCTTTTGAACGAAAGAAAGCGAAAGTCATTGTTTTCGTCACGATTTTATCCCACTTTCCACTGTAATACGTACGTAAATTTCAGCAAAAATATTACATTTCCGTGAATGTATTACATCAAGCACAGTATGAATAGAATATCATTGTAATATAACAATATTTTAACCGAAAACTATTACAAAAACGAATAACATCTCAAGAACATCGGAAGCTTAGGTAAAGTCTTTTGTTTTCGTCATATATTTTATCGTATTTTACATTGAAATACATCACGTTTCAGCAAAACTACTATTTATTTCCGAGAATATATTCATTCAGGCGCAGTTTAGGTAAAATATACGTGTGATGTAACAGTTTTTTAACTGAAAACGATTTGAAAAACACGTACCCTATAGCCCTGTTCAAGGAGAGGACTGGGAGAAGCTGTTTGGTGCTGCAGACGATGACAAGGAAAATGATTTGGATGGATTTTAATGAAAATATTCAGAAATATGGTATCGTAGTATTTATTCAAGTCAATTAGGATAGAATATTATTGTAATACAACAGTTTTTAAACTGAAAACCAATCGAAAAGCGATTACGGTAACATCTTTTGAACGAAAGAAAGCGAAAGTCATTGTTTTCGTCACGATTTTATCCCACTTTCCACTGTAATACGTAAGTCATTTCAGCAAAAATATTACATTTCCATGAATGCATTATATCAAGCACAGTATGAATAGAATACCATTGTAATATAACAGTATTTTAACCAAAAACTATTAAAAAAACGAGTAACTTCTCTTGAACATCGGAAGGTTAGGTAAAATCTTTTGTTTTCGTCATGTATTTTATCCTAGTTTACATTAAAATACATCACGTTTCAGCAAAACTACTAATTATTTCCGAAAATATATTCATTCAGGCACAGTTAAGGTAAAATATACATGTGATGTAACAGTTTTTTAACTGAAAACGATTCGAAAAACACGTGTACCGTCTAGCTGATACTCAACAGCTGGTGGTGCGTCATGCGTCGTTGTAAACAATAGGCGGTTGTAGTAGGTTACCGGGTATTATATTAAGTGTGAAATATCGAAATGTTTTTATTACCGGTATTTTTTGTAGATCAATGAGAACTGTGATACCGTATATGATATGATAAGTTAGCCTGTGCTAAGAACTTCAACATAGACTACTGATAACATGTTGTAAGGTAATTTAGCCTATTGTAAGTTGGTGAGTGTATGTATATTATGTATGCTGTATGTATATTATGTATGTGCTCCATTTATATACATTATTTATTCAGCCTAGCTAGCAGCGTGTGGCAATGTATTTACCATGTCCCACACGCTAACGTGCCTGGCGACATATGGAAGCTGCTAATGTATCACTTGCCATATGTCGCCTAAAAGGCTAGTTGACCCCCGAGACAGAGTAAGGAGTGCCACCTCGCTTGTGTATGTCTGTTTATCCAGGAAATAGAACCTACGAAAACTCTACAGGTGTTTGTGTTCACTCCTGTAGATAGAACTTGATACCCAGAACACATGCAGTGAGCTTCATTTGCTGAAGGAACTGCACAACTTTTCATTACTAATTGGTACATATTTTACGTTTCCATTGTTTACTGGCAGTAAATGGTAAATATTTTTCATGTCTGAAGCTAAAAGCTAAAAGACGCTGGTGTTTTATCCCAGCAGTGGATGGACCAGCATTTTAGCTTAAGGTCCGCGTCGGTAATATTCCTACAAATCTAAAAAAAAAAAAAAAAAGTTCAGATTTTGTCCGAAGTCCGAATTATCCGAAATCCGGATTAAAGGGGTCCGAATTAACGAGGGTCGACTGTATTTGCTCTCCTAACAGATGTAATATGCATTCTGAATTTAAAAAATTCTTTGGGGTTTGCAGAGAACAAAATGTTGAAATATGATTTTCCATTTGGCAATGTGAAAACACATTTTGTAATCTGAAGGTGAAATGGGTTAATTTCAAAGCAAGATTATTTATACATTTGAGGATACTGACAGTAAACTAATGACTAAAATTGAAACACAGTGCACTGATATGGGCACAAAAATGATTATCCACATGATAAAATTTTCAAATACCCATTAAGTTTTTAACAGTAAGAATCATTAAACTGCAGTATTGAATGTCCACATTTCACTTTATAAAAGTATTTACACACAAAACAGCATTGTGAATTTGTTGAAAATTCTGGATATTATACGCAGCTTCAGTGAAGCCTCACATTTAAAGTTTTCTTATAAAATAGGGACAACAACACACAGACCACTATAGACAGTAAACAGGAATTCATAATTAGTGTACAAAGGATGAGCTTGTTCTTACCGACTTTGTAGGAGATGATCCCGACTCGGACCATCTTCGGGGGTGACTGTCTTCTTTAGTGTCTTGTCTTGGTGATGGCAGAAATGTTTCTACTCCTTCAGGGTTATCGTCTTGTCCCCTTGCTGCCCCATCTGCTTTTACTCGTGGTCGTAAGGTATTTCGAAACCCATCAAAAAAGTTTTTTTTAAGTTTGGGTGGACTAGAGGGTACATCAAGCTTATCTACAGACCCTTGTTTTTTAATAGGTATATACGTGGGTATCCTAGATGCAGCAGAGGTTGTAGGTGGGGCTGGTGGTGGAGGTGGAGGTTTGGTACTTGTACAAACACTTGATGGGTTAGCTGTTATAGATGATGTAGGAGTAGTACACCCACTACTGTTGATTAAACTTTGGCTGTAACAGAAATTGTATTACAGTATTTGATAAATAAATTACATAGGTTTCATTATTATAACAACCAAAAATCACAATGTGTGTCTCATATTGTTGTTGGATCACCAGAACTTTGAAATGGAGAGATGTCCAAGACCTATGGAACTAGAAAATGAAACTGCCACAAAGGCCCAACAAGATGTGCAGGAAGCATATATCTTGAGTAAGTGGTAATGAATTTTCTAAGTGATAATCTTAGGTAATTCTATAAATCTAAATAAAGTTTTATTGCAGGATTGCTACCAACTGCAAAGTTAGAGAGCAGAGACAAAACTTTCTCTGATATGTTGGACTTGGATCATGGTTATGCTAATTTTGTACACAACTTATCTTTAGTTGTTGATGTACTGTAAGAGTACCGGTACATCATACCTCATCACAATATCTTAGTCAGCGTGAAGTTATGAAACTGATAAAATTATTCAGGGATAAAATATGACCTTGAATTTTGACCTAAATCTTGAACAAGTGATCAGAAATTTTGTTCAAGAAGACACATCCTAGGTGATAACATAAAAGTATTCCACATTTCACTTCAATGCTAATCCAATAACCTAATTAATTACATTGTTACAATTACTCCAAGCCTCTCTACATATTGCCAACACAAGCAATGTATCAAATAAACTTGGAATTGTACAAACTGTTTACACAATGAACCTGAAGATCATATACTGTACAGTTAATCCTTGATTTACAAAGATTTAGTTTAAGAAAATCTGAATTTAAGCATAATTTAAATTTGTCCTGTAGTAATTTGATTTCTGAACGGTGAATCTCAAGTTATGAATTTTTCTCACCTCTTGTAATTTTTCCTTAAGTAATTATAAAAATACTGGATGATAAAGTAACTTACTTCATTATTCTCTTAACACTCACAATGTTATCCCAGTCCACAAATAAGTTTTCAGTGTGTCATCATTCTCCTACAATCACCATATAACCTATTCCTCAAACTCACTGGGGACAAGTAGATTCATCTCCATCAGCACATAGTCACTCAGCCAGTTGCCCAATTGTCCAAATTCTACTCATTTACTCTAATCATCTAATGTAATACGAGGCAAATTAAATATAAGAAAATTATCTGCATTGTATTCTTAAATTTCATATGCCAATTATGAACAATAAAGGTGTCGAGTTATAACAAAGTTAGGAATTTGGAAATGAACTAAAATTTGGAAGTGTGGACATTGCTGACAATGCACGAGAGAGCAATGAGTCTCCCATCAGCTGACTGACAGCAGCATTTGCACAATGTAATCAAAACAGTGGGAGTTTAGGATGATGCAATATCTTATCATGGGTCAAGCATGGGATTATTTTTTTTTTTGCAGAGAACATATTTCCAATTATAAAATATAAATCAATGTATTACTACAGGAAAATATTTATTATAGATGATGGCTCAGTGTTTCATACTGTTCACTTTTTTTCAAATCTCATCCAGTTTCTCTGATGTACAACAGTTATAAAATTATTACTCCGCTGCTTGTATTTCACTATTATATACTGTACACCAAATATCCTCATCATTATGTTGTGTGAAATTTTAAGATGTTCTAGAGAAGTATTATTTCATAGGAATGTATCTTAGCTTTATAATGGAAGTGAACAGTATAGGAAAATGTGATCCGATTTATAAAAAAAAAATTATTTACAAAAAGTTTTTCAATAATGGAGCCCGTTCGTAAATCAGGGAATGCCTGTATTAAAAAAGTGTATAGAAACAGAGAGAATGTAGGGATCGCACATTACACACTCTTACAGATGCAAACAAGACTTGAACATTTACACGCTACTTTGGTAAACAAAAGAACATGAAGTTCACAAAAAAAAATTTATTTTGATATGCGGGGGTGTGTGTGTGTGTGTGTGTGTGTGTGTGTGTGTGTGTGTGTGTGTGTGTGTGTGTAATCTTCAGCATTCTCGCCTCGCAAGCGAGTGGACCCGGGTTCGATCCCCGGGCAGGGTGAAACTATGGGCAAGTTTCTTTACGCCATTTGCTTCCGTCTACCCAGCAGTAATTGGGAACCTAGATGTTAATTGATTTGCGGATCGTATTCCGGGGTAACGGTTAACCAGTGCAGTTGTCAGGTCTTCTCGGACTATTCCTTGACACTGGGTCATGCAGCTCATTAACTCAGGGTGTGGTTGTTGTGTTGGCAACAGCTTCTACACCTTAAACAAATTCACGCCAAGGTGGCTCTTGTGCTGGCCATCCTCGTTACACGAGGGGAAACTATTATTGTGTGTGGGTGTGTTGAAATTTTTTAGAAAAAAAAAACTTATTTCTGTAAGGCAAACTTTCATTTCATAACACAAATTTAGTGGTCATGATTTATGAATTGTGTAAGGGTGAATTTTTGTAACCTGAATGTTTGTAATTTTTTTTTAATGGGGGATTAGCCCACCCAGGCACAGGTCACTGACCCACATTGGTGTCAAGGAGAACAAAAAAAAAAAAAAAAAAAAAAAAAAAAAAAAAAAATACAGAAAGGGAAAATTAAAAAAAATATATGAGTGAGAAATGATATACAGGTATATGTTGTGTTGTTAAAATAACAGAAACAATTGAGACCCTGCAATTGTGTGCAAATGAGGTAGAAAGTCAGTCATATCAACAACTTGGGACTTGATCACAATTTATGTGATGCCATATGATAGCAGTGGTCTACCATTAGACAACACATTATCCTTTGTAATATCTTCCCAAGTATTAGTAGCTGCCAACTACCTAAAGATGGGGATGACTGAAGTGTAATATAAAAAAACATTACAGACAATAAAGAGCTCTGACCTTATAAACCCAACACACTTTAACTTTTATTTATTTATTTCAATTATCATTTTATCAGCCATTTGGGCAGTCTAATTTGGTTTCATCACTCAAGATATAATACCAGGGTAATAACTAAAATTGGATGATTGAAATACGAAATTTAGATTCACAGCCAAGCAGTGTTGACAAGCTACCTGTGACACTTCCTTCAGATTACCTCTCCATCAGCCTACCCTAACCAGGGGTCTTCACATACTCTACTCCAGTGGTAATTTTATACCATCCAATCAGATCAGGCCAGCTACATAGCCATTAAGAAAGATGACTAAATATTTCCCTTTTCTCTCCTAAGAAAGGTCTGACATAATCAAGTACATACAACAAAGCCCCTTTTTCCTAAGAGACTCACCTGGAAGGAATATCTATAGTATTGGCTTTCTTTTTAGCAACTGCAGGACGGTGTGATGCAGCAGGCTGACTCAAAGTTTTACGTAAAGAAGCATTCCAGCTGATGCCTCGCTCTGGCTGCTCCAGC